CCCCCCTCCCCCCTCCCAAACCCCATACCACCAAAACACGCAGAGCAGCCCTGGAAGCACCCCTCAGCACTCCGTGGAGTTTCCCTGCCCATCTCCCCGAGGACACAGGAGCACCTTGCCCCATACCGAGCTGCTATCACAACCCTGGGGTGGGACGGACGTGCAGGGCACACCTGACCCCACGGGCTCACCCACCAGGACCGTGGCTGCTACACTCTCCACGGTGCCACAGGCAGAGACCACCACCCCCTGTCCCCCCGCAATGCCCCCCCTGGGGACGCACTCACCTGCAGCATCAGCAGGGCGAGCAGCAGCAGCACGCAGGAGCCGGGGTTCGACCCCATGGTGGGGGGCAGCCCCGTGCCGCCCCGCTCAGTCCCCAAGGGGCTGGGGATGGCCCCGCTCCTCCCTCATGGCCCTGGGGGTCCCGGCTCCAGGAATGACCCTGCTCCCCTCACCCCTTTCCCTTCTCTTTCCCACCCCTATCCTTCCCCCCGATCCCTCCAAACCACTTTCCCTCAGCGGATGCTCAATCCCTTAGCGTGTCCCTGACGCTCCCCCCACCCCCTCCGTCCCTGTGCTGCCCACAGCTCCGTCTCTCAGCCAGACTGAATGTCACAGCCCTGGCGATGTGCAGGCTCCGCCTTCCGCTCCCCCTCCCCACGCACGGAATGCACAGTTCACCCAGCCTGGCACTGCCCCCATCACCCCATTATCTGCACCCGTTGGGGTCTGCCCCCCACCCCCCAGCTGGGCGTGCACAGTGGGGCTGCAGAGAGCTCTTGTTTGCTGCTTGGATGCTGCTGAGCTTGGAAACATGATGTCCAAAGGGTTTGGGAAGCGGGGTGCAGGCAGGGATGATGCAGTGGGGTGCAGAGGGGGGTAAAGAAGGTGGGGATCCCAAAGGGGATGCTGTGATGGTGTGCACACAGCTGTGACAACACATGGCCTGATTCATGCGTGCACACAGGGCAGGGGTGTTCCTGCAAGTCCTTATCATGGGGGGACACCAAAAATCCCTTCCCAAATGCCTCTGCTTACCCAGAAGGGCTGCGGGCTGGCTGTGTGGCAGGCAGGATGACCCGAACTCTGCCCCATCTGTGCATGGCCAAAGCCCTCAGATGGGCTGCCTCGTCCTCTAGAAATCCCAGAAAAGTGCAATGGGGCATTGCAATCTCAGCTGATGGTAACGACTGCCAAACCAGAGCAGAATGGGTTGTACAAAGCACCCGGCACAGTTCCTCATCGTTCAAAGGAGTGGTGTGTAACAAACACAGCTAAAAAATGCAAAGAGGGCAACCGGGCCCTTAATATTTAAAGCCATTTGTGTGGTGTTATTAGGAGTGACCGATGCTGCTCTTGCAGGCACAGCTCTGATCCTGCAGTTCTATTGACACAAAGAGCCTCCGGGACCCGGACAGCCTCATTACCATCTCATAGTTTCCAGCAAAATGCAAACACCCAATTTCAATCATCTAATTTTCCAACAGCACGGAAACAAGCAATGAGTGGCGGCTTTATCAGAGATCTGAAGGCAAATAAAATGGTTCCAGGTGCAAATAAGCTCACACTTATGCTGGCACAGTGGAGTGGAGGGGGGAAGGGGGTGAGCGTTGGCCCCAAGACACCCAGGTGTCCCCATAGAACTGGTTTCTTTGGTGCCACCTGGTGGCACCCAGTTTGAGAGGTGGTTGCCTTTGATGAGTGGGAAATGAGCCTCTGTGCTTTGATGCAGCAGTGCCGTGCATGGCCAACATGGGATCACAGTGGGACTGCCATAGAACTGCCATGGGATCACCATGGGATCACCATGGGACCACCATGGGACCACAATGGAATGGAGCTGCCACAGGGCTGCCATGGGACCACCATGGGACCACCGTGAGACTGCCATGGGACCAGAGGGCTGAACATCCCTGCTGTCTGTGTTTCCTCATTTTGGGATCTCTCCAGATAGGAGTGATGAGGGACGTTGCAGGGCCCATGCAAGACCATGGCCCAAAGTGGAGCTGCAGGTGGAGCCCACCCTAAGCCAGAGATGGGGCTGAAGTCCAGGCTGTGGGCTTGATGTAAGGTGAAGATCTGGGTTTCCAGAACAAGAAATCCCAGACATTCCCCAAGGCTGAGCCCCAGCTTCTGCCTTGTGTTGTGATGCACTGGGGCTGGGAGTTGCACTGGACCTACAGCGTCTTGACAGTGGGTTTGGCTCAGTAACACCCTCAAAAGGAACTGGGATGCTATGAAAGGTTTTAGGGAATTCCCACTGTGTCCCCTTGTCCTACCATGGCAAAAAGTCTTCTGCTGCAGTGCTTGAATCCTTCTTGCAGACAGGAACAAGATGAGCACAGGCACGACGGACACGCAGGCTGTGCTCAGAGCATGCAGGGCTCTGCCAGAAGCAGGGGGTAATCAGCACAGTAATCAAATGTGCAAATAATGGGAATTTGGGAGCTATAACAAAAGGCAGTGAAACAATCCAGAGGGGCCTGGAGAAATTAGGAACGTGGAGTAAAGTGTAATCAAGTAGAAAATAGTCCCTGTAGAGCCAAGGGCTGGAGTCTTAGCAGCTGACTTCGCTCCTGCCATATGGAGGTGTCTCTGATTTTGGGGCTTTGATGGGATCTGTTCCCACTTCATGAGCAGAGCTGGCTCTGGGCTGCAGGAAATGTTCCCAGATCAGTGCTAGGGGACACTGGGAGATTTGGGTTGAATGCTGATGAGATAATCACGTGGAAGGGCAGTGGAAGAGCTCACGGGGGCAGAGGAAAGATGCCAGAGGACATCAAGAGGATGGGTAAAAATTACATTGCAGTGGGTTTGAATGCTAGAGGATGTATGGCCACCCATGAGGACCAAGTCCAAAGTAGCACCTGAGCAACGGCCCCCATTGCACCGTGCCTTGGTCATGGATGGGGTCAGAGTGGACAACTGTAGGGGGGGGAGGTCTTCATCCTCCACCCATGGAGACCCCACAGGTGCGCAGTGCTGTGGTCATGCATGGGGACACAAATGTCTGAGGGCCATGGGACACCCATGGGGCAGATCCCATGGCCGCAGGGCGCAGTCTCAGTGCTGAACCCCATCCCCACACCCCTCCCAGTGCTCCCACATAGAAACCTGTCCCAGGTGCAGGTGACACCCAGCCCCATGGGGACTCACTGCTGCCTCCAGCTGCTTCCTGTCAGCTTTCAATGGGACCTTTCAACACATCCCAAACGGTGAGCCAGGTGCATGAGAACACGCCCCACCAGCCCCCTTCCCCATCTGCCAGGTGGCTTTTCCTTGCCACCCACCCTGAGATCAGAGCCATTTCCCCCCCGCCGCCATGGGTGTCCCTAAGGAATACCATGGAGCTGTGGGATGGGGGATTTTAGGGAAACCACGTAGCCAAAGCCATGGGATGCTGCTGGTGGGCCCATGGTGGGGCCGAATCCTGGCACCAGGGCTCCCCAAACACTGGGACCAGTGCACAGGGCTAGGAAGAACCCACAGCTCTGGTTCCCTGCAGGGACAAAATCGCCTTTGAGGAAGCACAGCCTTTCTTAGTGCCACCCCTTTTGTGGGTGGGGTGTCTTGGGGACAAAAGCAGGGAGAAGAAACCTGGGGTTACACCTCGAGCAGCCCAACCCACTGGGAAGGTTTGTTTGCCCCTAGCAGCTATAGCAACGAGCATGAACTGCAGGTGCTGCTCATCTGGCCATGGAGCTTGGGGCAGCAGGGAATGCCAGCGGGGTCTGGGGGGATGCTGCAGCAGGAACCTATGTCATCCCACATAGGGTGAGCCCCAAAGAGCAGCCCAGGGGATGGTGGGGAGAATGTGGTGGGTGGGAGGCGAAGGGATGGGGTCAGGGTTCGGGGTGGGAGGCAGGGTTTGGTTTGCAATCAGCTTTTTGCAAGATGCAAATGCTCTGTGCAAAACCCCAAGGAGTTTCCGTGGGGACGTGCCCTGGGGCAGTGTGTGTGCAGGCATGAACCCTTGGGAAAAGGGACCCGGTGTGAGCTGCCCCCTCCTCCAGACCCCCATCCGTGGGGCTTCTCTCCCCCTCCTCTCTTTCAGCTCCCACCTGTGCCGCTGTCCCCGCAGCCACTGACCATCATCCAGCAGCTTCCCATGGCCACAGCCCATCCCTCTGGAGCCCCACACCTGCGGGGAGGTGCGTGACCACGGCCATCCTGCAGCCCCGTGCTGAAACCATCCTCGTGTCTTCCCACCTCCAAACACAGGGAGAAAAGGGCGAGTTCCACATCACTCCTGCACAAAACCAGTAGGGTCCTGGGGACCGCCCACCAGTGGCTTTGCAGGCACTTTGTGGGGGGATTTCGTGCCCGCAGCAGATGGGGTTGTTTTAATGGGGGTGTTTTAACGGAGATATTTTAATGAGGATGTCTTAATTGGGATGTCTTAATGGGGATGCACCAAGGAGGCTTTGCCAAGCCCTGTGTGCTGCCAGGACCGCAGCAATCCTCCAAATGGGCGGAAAGTCTGCAGCCTCCAGCACCACTAATCACCTTTTGTGCGCAGCCGGACCAGATGTTTAATCCCATTTGCCAATCAGGAAAGGCGGAACGATCTCTATTTTAAAGCTTTACCCGAGCAAAATAATTTTTAAATGCCATCTAGGGCTTCCAAATTGGGGCGTGGGGCTGGGTTGGCTCCTGGTGCTTGGCAGGGGGACAAACCTTGGTGCTATCCCAAGGGATGCATCCTCATTGCCCATCCCATCCCCTCGCTCTAATCCCTCTCTGACGCAGAGACCCTTTGCTCCCCGGCAGATTTATTTGAGCTGATGATGATTCAGAACTCCCAGATACACCAGGTGGTGATGAACAGCCTGGCGGTGTCGGCACTGGCGTCCTTTGGGTTTGGGCCATCTCCAGCCACTGTCCAGGTATGGGGTGGGGCTGATGGGTGCCCTCCGCCTTCTGATCTCCTTGGGGTTTTGGGGCTCCTTGTGTTGGTTTGACCCCCGGTGTGGATCATATCTGATTCTGTTCCTCCCCCATAGACACCCGCTGTGCCTTGGCAGCCTGGAGAGGAGGAGGAGGAGGCCATGGTTTTCCACCACCACTACATCCCTTATCCCAGTTCTGCTCCCCTTTGGGCATGGCCACTCCAGGATCAGGCTGTGGGACCGGCAGCCGTGCGGCACCTGAGCACAGCCACAGAGGACAGGGAGGTGTGAGTAGCTAGGGAGCTCTGGCACAACCAGAGGGACATGGGACAACATCAGGTGGGCACTCACTCCTGTCCTCATCCCTCTCCATCAGCCCCGTGCCACCTCCTCCACCCCCCAGTGCTACGGGGACCGTCGGAGCCAACGTCCCTCCAGCACCAGGTAACACCTTTTCCCTGTACCTTCAGTAGGAGGTGTTGCATTGACCTCTCCACCTGCCCAGCTGAAGGCTGAGCCCTCCCTCTATCCAACCCCAGTCCCTGCTTTCCCCCTACAGAGTACTACGACATGCTGGAGGAGCGGCTCTGAGCACCCTGCAGCCCAAGGGGGCTCTTCCTGCACATCCTCATCCTCCAGCCCAGAAGATCTTGCAGGGTGCCCCATGGTACTGGCAGTTTTGGGGAGGGAGATGATGTGCCTGGCCAACTGTGTTATTTTGGTGTGTGGGTGTGTACTGTTTCGGTGCACGGATGCACAATTTTGGTGTATGGGGTGGGGTCGTGCCAACCCAGGTGTCCCCAGTCTCCATCAGTCCCTTCAGCTCTCAGTGCAGCACATTGCCTGTAATTAATTTGCTTTGTTAAGAAAGCACCCTGCTGACACTAATTAAGCATCTGTCATTAACCCAGGCTGCTGGCCCTGCGCCTGAATGTGGGGCTTCCTCCAAGCAAAGGGGGTGAGAAAGGGGGGCTGTGTGCTCCTTGGGTGCACATGTGGGGTGCCCATGGGGGCTATGAGGTGCTGGTGGGGGCTGTGGGGTGCGAATGAGGGGTATAACGGAGACCATCCAAAAGCTGAGCTGAGTGTGGGGTGAAACCATGCTGATGTGCAACGCTTTGTGTATCCATACAGACAAAATGAGGAGGAAGAGAGGAGTCACCGGGGGATGTCCCAATCTTGAATATGGGAATAATGAGAGGAAGGGAGGGAGGATAGCGCAATGGGGATTGCGACACGCGCAGTAGAAGTGAGCCCTGGAGCCCTCTCTGGGTGACACTGGGTTGAGCAGCACAGAAGTATCCCATGGCCGGGGCACAAAACCCACACTGCCAGAAGTGTGGAGGAGGAATGGGGGAAGGAGCGCTGGAGGGAACGAAGTAGGGCAGTTTTGCTGAAGGTACATCATTGTCAGAGAGCAGCTGGGATGCTGGCTTTGACCCAAGGGCCAAAGGAACCAGTGGGGCTGGGTGAGAGTGCATGAATGAGGCAGCGGGGCTGTGACCCCCCCCAGATAAGAAGTGTTGGTGAAAAGCCATTGCAGTGCTTAATGACCCAGCAGGATGCATATCAGCAGTGACTCCTCATATGACCCAGGGTCTCCAGCATTGACTCACCCCTTCTCTCCACCCTCACCTGCTGTGCCTGCCTGCCAGCCCTACAAGCCTCTGTATGGGGCAGCTCCTTCCCTGGACCAGCCCCGAACGCCCACACACCACTCTGCTGAACCACTGCCTTCACCTGCCCTGCTCCAGGCATCCCTACTCTCCACCCCCAGCTCTGGGGACGCCGGCTGAGCTCCCCAGCATCCCCACACCCCGGTGGCACAATGGACGTGGCCCTTCTCCATGGGCTGCTGCTCCTCCTCACCTTCCCTGTGCTGCTTTACTGGCACAGTGCCACCTTCCGCTACTTCTGCAAAGTGACTTTCTTCAACATTTGGGTCGTGACCATGGCGACTCTCCTCTCCCCCTTCGTGGCAATTCGGGGACGCTGCGTGGAGAACATGAAGTGAGTATGGCTTGGGGTTGTGCTTCCAGCATGGAAACATCTGGGGCTCGGTGGTGATGGAGTCATGGGGTCTTGTGGTTTTGTGGTCGTATCCACAGCCAGGACTGCAAATGGAGCCCTGGAGCCGTGATGAGTGCTGTGGTCGTGTCCACGTGGAGCATCTGCACACTGTGGGATGTAGTGGTGCTATCCATGGTTAGCTATGGGCACACCATGATGGGGCAACCAGCTGGGTCTGGGCTATCTGATCCCCATTGGATCAGGTAACATAAAAGGGAGAACTGACCATTGCACTGCTGGGTGCAATGAAGGACTGGAAAGGTTTGCAGCACTCACTGGCAGGATACACATGCATGCCCACAGCCCTGGCAGTGCATCCCACTTTGAGAGCAGGACTCCAGGATTTCCTGATGCCATCAGCTCGGTGTCCCAGAGAGATGCCCAGGTGCTGCCCCATCGCTCAGCCAAGCTGGGGGTGGTGGTGGCCATGATAGCATCTCTGAGCAACACGAGTTCCTTCCAGGGATGATGCAACCCTGGTGCTGAATTCCTGGCCATGATAGCATACTGGAGGGATGTAATTGTGTCAGGATGAAAGACAAGCCTGTGGAATTTCCAAGCTCAAGACATCACGTGTCAGTGCAGGCAGATCCAGAGCTCTTGGCGGGATTGCAGCCAGAGGTTCGGTGTTATCAGTCCCCTCGTGCAGCTGTTCTCCCTCATTCTCTCCATGCAGGAATGATGCACACACACGTGCATTCCCTATTGCCTTGAGCCCTGGTGCAAACGCTTCCGGCTCAGTGGAAATCCCTGGCATGATGCAGCTGTGACTCACAGTGCCTTGTCTCATCCCCCCGCCACCTCACATCTGCAGCACACCCAGCTCCTCAGCCTCCAAATCACAACGCCTCTGGCTTGGAGCAGGTTCTTGCCATTAGTCCTGGCTTTGGGGCATGCCACAAACCTCTTCTCTTCCCTACCTGGTGCTGAGCTTTTCCTTACCGTCTTTTCTACCTTAGGTTTGAAGCATGCACTGTTGGATGTGAGACCCTTGGCACAGATGCTCTCCATTGCTATGAGTTGGAAAGTGCCCCATTTCTACGTCAAAAGTGTATTTATCTCCAGCATGGGTGCTGCAATCCCCGTTGCTCCATCCTCTCTCCATTCCTCTCATTATTCTCATACTGAGCGTCACCCTTCATCAGCACTGCCGTCCTGGTGTCACCCTTCCTGTCCAAGCCTTTTTGGATGGTGACATGGCTCTTCCTCGTTCCCCATCCAGCTGATAAAACCTCCATCTCTCGCTGACTTTAGGCCAAGTGAAGCAATTCTGAATTGCTCTGATGAGCAAAGATGAGCTGGTTCTTTCCTTCCCTGCTCTTGTCATGACCTCCTTCCACCTCTCTGTGTCAATCTGCTCCCCACATGTGTCCCTCTGCCCTAGGGTCCTCTGTGCTGTGATCCGGCCCCTCAAGCACTTGTATGGCATCAAGATAGAGGTGTTGGGTGCCGAGCACCTGAATCTCAAGGAGCCCTATGTGATAGTTTGCAACCACCAAGCTTCCCTTGACCTGATGGGTATGTGCAGGGGAGGGGAGGGTTTTGTCACCATGTGGGCAGCCTTTGGGGTTGGGCTGAGCTCGGGGCTATGGGTGCAACGCAGAGAAAGCGTTGGGACTCTATGATGTGGTTGGTGATGGTAACCATGAGGCTGGGGTTGATCCTTTCCTTCTCATCCATCCTCCAGGAATGGTGGAGGTCATCCCCAAGCGCTGCGTGCCCATTGCCAAGAAGGAGCTCCTGTACATGGGCACTGTGGGCTGGGCCTGCTGGCTCAGTGGCATCATCTTCATTGACCGCCAAAGGACTGGAGAGGCCATTGATGTCATCTCCCAGACGGCCAAGACCATACGGCGTGAAAACGTGAGCAGGAGAAACTGGGCTGGGGGTAGACGGGGTTCAGGGAGGACCACGGGTGTCACGGTGGGGAGGTGGTGCCTGGGGACCATGCTCACATCTCACCCTGTCCTGTGCAGCTCCGAGTGTGGATTTTCCCAGAAGGCACCAGGAACCAGAGTAGATCCATGCTGCCCTTCAAGCGTGGGGCGTTCCACCTGGCCGTGCAGGCTCAGGTAAGGCATCACGTTGGGGTGGTTATCTCCCATGGCATCATGGCATCCCCCACTCATAGAAAATCTCCATCATCTGCCCTTGACAAAGAGGGGTGGGGGACATTAGAGTTTTCTGGGAACTGCAGGGCACAGGGAGGTGACAGGGACCAAGGGAGCTAGAGTCCTACTGGTGTTAACTGGGGGGGAGAAGGGCCTGCATGACCCTCCATCTCCTGCAGGTTCCCATTTTCCCCGTTGTGATTTCTCCATACTGGGACTTCTTCAGCTCCAAGGAGAAAAAATTCACCCCTGGTAAGTGGAGGACAAGAAGCCCCATTGCAGAGGCTGTGGGGACGAGGCACGTGAGGGCTGGAGGTCTTTATGAACAACTCCGAGGTGCATGGAGGCATCCAGTGGTGGAGGATGCTGGTGGGATGACCTGTCCTCCTTGGCTTCTCCTCTCCATTTCCAGGGATGTTCACCATCCGAGTTCTCCCCAAGATAGAAACCCGTGGCCTGAGCCCAAAGGATGTCCCAGAGCTGACAGAGACTGTCCGCAACATCATGGTCGATGTCTTCTCTGAGATGTCTGCAAATCCCTGCAGGGATCAGCGTGTGGATCTTCCTCTGCTCCCAGGCACTGGGGCCACCACAAGGACTGAAAGCATGTGGCATGAGGAGGACACAACTGGGACCAGTGATTAGGCAGAGCTCATGGGGACATCAGGGAGGTTGGGTATCTGGTACCAGGTAGAACTTGCTACACCCATCTCCATCTCTTGTGGTGTGGTTCACCCATGGGCTCCTTGCCCAGGGTCCTACTAGTTGTGCTGTCCTCGTGCCATGAGGACATGTGGTGAGTTTGTGGGGACTGGAGGGATGTGGGGAGGGGGGAAATTGCCACATTAGAAGAGCTTCCTCAATGCATAACGATGAGATGAAGGTGCAAAATTAAAGAGTTCACAGCTGGTGTTTGTGCACGGTGAGGTTGCCTGAGCCTGAGCTTGGGGGATGAGGGCAGGAGGGGATGGCCATGCTGCATGTGGAGCATCTCTGAAGATAATGGGCAAACCATGGCCAAGATGACGCACAGTGCTTTGGTTCATCATTGCTGTTCTCAGAAATGTCTGGAAGAAATTCTGCAAAACAGTGGAAATCGTCTATCCATGTAGAACGTGCTGGGCAACGCTATTAGCAACGGTGAGCTGGAACTCCAGGTTGGGAACCATCACATGGAGATGATCGATAGCAGTGGACACATGGAGGACCTGATTTCCCAGGGCTGCTGCATGCCTGCTGCCATGGGTTGTGTTTGGCTGCCTGGAGCTTTGAAACCATCAGGGGTGGGGGTCTGCGTGGTTAAACACTGACTCAGCTGGAGAACTTGTTGAGTTTTACTTGCTGCATCAGGGAGGCAAGGGTGAATGGGAGAAGAGGAAGACTGAACTGAGGGCTCGGAGCTTACCTTGCCTCTGTGTTCTTCCCCTGGGTATGGGGTCCAGAACAGCCCTGACCTGCCTGCTGCTCTGCGTCCTCATTGCTAGAGCAGCTGCATGGCCGTAAGCCCTGTCCATGTCCGTCTGTCCATGCTGGGTGGGATGGTGGGTGGTGTTAGCTCGCTTCTGGTGCTCAGGGTCAGTCCTCATCCTGAGTGTGGTTGCCTGGTTGGGGTGGAGGTGCTCGGGGTGCTGCGTTGTCCCTGTGAGGACAGAGGGATTAGTGCCTGTGGTTGTGGAGCACTGGGTTTTGGTGGAGGTCCCTGCCCACCTCCACTGTGGAGGTGTC